TGGGATGTGTTATGACTGGCAAACTTACCAGAGAAATGCAGCAGAAAGGCAGGTGAAATCCTAGGAGCCGATGCTGTGAGCAAGGCCCATTCTGTCACCGGTAGGGCAGCCTACTGGGCTAGGGGAAGAGATGCCTTGGAACAAGGTGAACCTTCCCTAATTCACAGCTGGTCCCTAAGCAAGCTCTCCACGGCTGTCACAGAAGCCACCTGCATACAAGCCCTGCACAAAGAGGGAGAATCTGGTGATGCTCTGATACCCACCATGCCAGATGAGACAAGATTAAAGCCTCTAAATGAAAGAGGCCATGCACATTCTGATTCCAGATGGTCCTCGACAGCAGACGGTGACATTTCTTATAGATCTGGGAGCAGAAATGTCAATGCCAGTGTTAAAGAATTTCACGAGTCTCTGGGTTACTCTAGGTTTGCATTTATTCACAACTCAGAGTTGGGCCATCACCTCAGTGAGTGGCAAATGAGAATCACAAACATAACACTTGATATGTCTTTCTATCATAATTGCATAAAGAGTTTCCACGATGTTCACAGTTCCTCATTTGTTTGGTCAGCTGAAAGTCCGTTATTTTCCCCAGGTCAGCACGTTCTTATCGGTCTGTCTTAGTTCCGCTTCTCGATCACAAAGTCCATCGGCTCATCCATCAAAAGTCTTCTCTTGGCAGCCACCGTGAATGCAAGCAAAAACCATTCTGAATTTTAACAACTTGACCTTTAACCTCTTCTCTATTCATCTGGGCCTACTTTAATTATTCTGTCTATCTCTTGGTTTAAGATCAACTTATCTGGCTGTCTTAAATTCTTCATCTCTCTTTATCTACTGATTAACTCAGCTGGTGATTAGTCCAGCCATGGAGGGGGGCTATGCAAGGGACGCAGTGAGCAATAGACCACGGGCTGTTGAGTTTCTGCCTGCACACCTGCATCTTGCTTGCGTTCAGAAGTCAATATCTTCATACAATATCCACAGGATGATTAATGAACCTAGGCAAAAGCAAAATTAACTCCTTCCTTTATCAGCTAGCACAAGAGGATGTCGAGAGCTGGGTGTGTGACCTGGACAGCAAAGTGTTAAAGTCACCAGAGTAAACAGAGCAAGTGTAATTTGCCAAACCATGATGGTTAATTGATGGCTTCTGGGTGAGAAGCACCTGTCGTCTCCTTGCTTTGTGATTAAAAAGCACATTGAAAATATTTGGGATATCGATGGTTTGACTGGACAAAGCTGGCACTTGCCAGAGGGCAGTATGTGGTCCTTCAGTACCAGTTACCAACCCCAATGCCAGTAGAAGCTGGGAGGCTGAAGTGCATGTGCTCCATGCAGCCCTGGCGCTCCAGTTCAAAAATTACCAATGTCCTACAGGATCTGATTTCTGCTGCGGAACAGAATGGAATTTCTGATGGAAGAGCAGACTTAGAAAAACAGCACATTATGTCAAGACCCCTCTCCCCAGACAATTCCCCAGTCTGGCCAGTCCAAATGCCCGATGGGAGATGGCACCTAACAATTGATTATTGGCACCGAAATGCCAACACAGTTCCACCAAAGGCTGCGGTACCCACTGTTGCAACTTTAACAGCCACGCTACAGGCAGCCGCACACCCATGGATGGCAGTGCCAGATGTCAGAGATGTGTTCACCCCACTCCTGATCCTTCCAGCCTGTCTCTCCTGAAAAGACACTCCATCCATTGCAGCGCCCCAAGATGTGTGAACTGTCCCACTACACCTCGGCGCTTTCTCCTTTGATGTCAAAGAGCACAGACTGTGGGCCACGTTTGGGCTGCAGCACCTCAGGCGTGGCTCCAGGCCAAGCTCTGGCTTGTCTTAGGGTAACCTGGTACCATGCATCCAACACCCTGTGTGTGCAAAGGCTTTCCTTGAGGGCACAGAGCTGCTGGACTGTACAGCAGATGGAAACACAAAGCTGAGAAAGAGAGAGGGCAAACCCTGCTGTGCCCAGGGACGGGCAAGCCCTGGCAAGAAACGGGTCTGCAGTCAGTGGTGTCTCTCCTGCCCCTTAGGGCCTGTGGTGGAGGTGAAGGTGATCTCCAGGAACAGCAAGGTCCCATTGACAGGCATGCTGTGAAAACTGTTGGCCTGTTCCTTGACATCAAGGGGGTGAGTAAAAGAATGGGGTAGAGAAAAACCAGCAGTTTAAGAGTGTAGTCACACGAGTGGAGACGCCAGCGTGATGTGCTTCCTATTCCTGGAGTGCCCTACATCTGCTGGACAAAGAAAGGACAGACCTTGCCCCCTGCAGTGGTGGCAGCCATGCACTTGCACAAAGGCACCAAATCTGTCTGCAGCGCTGTCTGTCACACACTTGCTCTGAATGGGGATGGCTTTCCTGTACAGCACCAATGCTGTCCCTGCCGACTGCAGGGAAGGGTCTGGGAAAGCCTTGGCACCTCACATAACGCTATGGACCCGTATTTGACCATTAAAAGGAGTAACTGCCCTGCATTTGATCAGGCAACGCAGGGATGTTCATGAGATGACCATCATAACAGTCAATGGGTATCAGGCAAGCCCAGCTGATGGGAAGGACAGAGAGAAACTGAGCTCTCCCTATGGCACATGATTCCAGCCAATCAGGAGAAGCCTAGCGCAGACCGCCCAGAAATTAACAAACAGGGAAAGGTTCAAGTGTTAAAAATGTGGGCATCTGCTGTTATTTCAGTTGGCCAAAGTAAATTCCCCACCAGCCTCCACGAGGATGCCCCAAGATGTTGCACTTTCTGTCAGCGTGGCTCCATCAGAGCTTGCAAGTACCTGCACATATCTCAGACCACCTCTGGCATCACAAAGGTCACCAGGTGATTGTGTCTGAACAGCTCATTCCTGGTCTCCATCTCCCTTAATCACCACCGGAGCTGAGACAAGGCTATTTTGTGTACACCTGAAGTGAGGCAAGAGGGGTCCCCCCTCCTGTGGGCTTGTGGTGTGCGGGGGAGAGAGCCAAGCCCCCTTCTAGACCCAGGACTGCAAACCCAGGATGAGATGCCTCAGCTGGTGCAGCTGAATCCCTTCCCTCAGCACGGGCACAGGAGATTGCCTGCCTGTCACTGTTGGGATGTCCTGTCTAATGATGAGACTGTCTTGGACTTAGATCTGACTCTGGTAATGCCACTGCTGTCAAGAAGTGTCTCTCCCTGGCTGAGAGACGGAACCTCAGGGATTTCTTCAGCCTGTTTCATAGCAGGTTCCCCTGGAGCCCCAGAGACCTCTCCAGGGAGCCCCGAGGGGGCAGAGCAAGTGCTGCCTTGGGCTGGCCCTCTGCTGCTGAGCTGGGCTGGGCTCCTGGGATGGAGGGAGCTCCTGGCAAGCGGGCAGCACTGCAGAGAGACAGCTCTGCCCAGGAGCAGCTCCTCTGCAAAGGGCAGCAGGGCTGAGGGCACTGCCTGCAGGTGCTGAGGGATGAGGAGTGAGGCAGGGAGAGGTTAAAGGCATCCTGGGGTGGGAGGATGCTGAGAGCCCACTGGGGCAGAGGTCTTTACAGCGCTTGACAGGGTAAGTCTCCAGGTGCAGGGCAACGCATCTGCTGTTCCTGGAGTGACCTCGTAAAGCTGGCATAGCCCATGGCTGGTGGGGTCTTCCAGGAGGACTCAGAGCTTCCTTTGTGTAGAGGAGAAGCACATGCTCCAGAGCAGGGCTTCCCTGCCATGACAGGCCATGACAGCTTGGTTCGTTCATAGCCAGCCAGAGGGGTGTGATGCTGGGTGTGCAGGCAGGGGCGCCCAGGGCTCTTCTTTCAGAGCAAGGTCCCTGCGCCCTGTGTCCCTGCACCCCTGGGGGCTGTGTGCTGGGGCAGGGACTCTGCCACCTGCCTGGGGCAGAGCTCAGCCAGCCTGGGGAGCTCCCCAGAGCACTGTGGGTAGAAGCTGTGGGTGGAAGGAGCAACTACTGGCTGTGCGGATTCCTTCTGCTGTTGAGAGGGTGCTGCATGGGACAGAGTCACTCACCTCATGGATGTTTTCAGAGGGTCTTTTCGAAGAAGGACATCCAGGCAGTTTATACCTTCAAGGGAAGGTGCCTGTGCCTTCAGATTTCTCATTTCAGTTGGCTGCATAGACAGTGGAGCTGGGAAATTATTTCTCTGTTCTGGGGAAGACACGGAGACCCCAGATCTCATTAGCACTTGTCTGAGCTGCTCCTCAGGCCCTGCACACACAGAGATGCCCCTGGGTAGTGCCCTGCTGCCAGGAGGGGTCTGTAGGGCAGATCTGAGCACACAGCATGTGGGATGGGGTCTGGGATGGGGTCTGACGGTGGGGATATGTGGGGACACTGAAATGGCTCCCAGCATGGACAGCTCCAAGCAGCAGGGGCTGAGAGGGATCTGCTGCCAGAAACGCCATGGGAGGGGTGATTGGGGCAACTCCCTGCCATCTCCTGCTCTTCAGGCGCCTTCCTCGGAGCAACCTCCTTGTGTCCTCTCCCACCCAGCACAGCCGCTGCCCACCCCAGGCCATGGCATCCAGGGCAAGCATCACCTCCTCAGCAGCTGGACCTCCAGAAGAGGAGAGGTGCATGTGTCCTCCAATGTGATGCACCACAAGGAGGATATAAAAGCACCTGCCCTGCAGCATCGCTGCCTGTGAGGAGCTGAGCACAGCCAGGTAGTGAGAAGGTGTCACTGCATGCTCCTCTGCCCTTTTCTTCTTCTTTCGATTTTAGATCATTGTGCCTCTCTGGTTCTAGAGGAATGGGGTTGGTGTGGGTGTGCAGATCAGCTTGTGTTCTGACACTGACTCCAGGGGTCCTGCCCATGAGGTGTCTACATGGAAACTAGGTGCCCACAGTCCATGAGGCACAATGTGATTCTGTTGGTGGGGGTGGAGAATGAGCTGTATCATTCCTCATTCAGCTCAGAGAGGGGGGATATCTATGAGAAAAGGCGAGGATTTTCTCAGATAAATGCTTCCTAACTTGTCCCTGCATTTTCCTCCTGGGACAGTGCCCCATGTCCAGAAGGACCAAATGTCCAACAGCAGCTCCATCACCCAGTTCCTCCTCCTGGCATTTGCAAATACACGGGACCTGCAGCTCCTGCACTTCTGGCTCTTCCTGGGCATCTACCTGGCTGCCCTCCTGGGCAATGGCCTCATCATCACCGCTGTAGCCTGTGACCACCGCCTCCACACGCCCATGTACTTCTTCCTCCTCAACCTCTCCATAATCGATCTGAGCTTCATCTCCACCACTGTCCCCAAATCCATGGCCAATTCCCTCTGGTACACCAGGGATATTTCCTACTTGGGATGTGCTACCCAGGTCTTTCTCTTTGTCTTTCTCATTGTTGCAGAATTGTATCTCCTCACGGTCATGGCCTACGACCGCTACGTTGCCGTCTGCAAACCCCTGCACTACGGCACCCTGCTGGGCAGCAGAGCTTGTGCCCACATGGCAGCAGCTGCCTGGGGCAGTGGGTTCCTCCATGCCACCTTGCACACTGCCAACACATTTTCACTACCCCTCTGCCAAGGCAATGCCATAGACCAGTTCTTCTGTGAAATCCCCCAGATCCTCAGGCTCTCCTGCTCAGCTGACTACCTCAGGGAAGTCGGGCTTATTGTGTTTGGTGTCTGTTTAGCATTTGTTTGTTTTATTTTCATCATGCTGTCCTATGTGCAGATCTTCAGGGCCGTGCTGAGGATCCCCTCCGAGCAGGGACAGCACAAAGCCTTTTCCACGTGCATCCCTCACCTGGCCGTGGTCTTCCTGTTTGTCAGCACTGCCATGGTTGCTGGCCTCAAACCTCCCTCCTTTTCCTCCCCATCCCTGGATCTGGTGATGGCTGTTCTGTACTCAGTGGTGCCTCCAGCAGTGAACCCCCTCATTTACAGCATGAGGAACCAGGAGCTCAAGGATGCCATTAGGAAAGTGCTTTCAGGCTTTTACTCTGCTTATCGTTATCGTCATCAGTATCTGTGTTGTGGTTTGTGTCTATGATGTTCCTAAATAAATGTTCACATTCATCTGACTTCTGAGGAATGAACCTACTCTGTCTCATGGGGTGTCTAACACTGGGTCAGAGCAGAATTTTGGGATGTTTCCAAAAGAGTTTGTGATCCCATGGAGAGCCCCTGCTGGACAAGGCTCCTGGGAAGACCTGTGGAGCCACGGAGAGCAGTCCACATGGGAATAGCTTTTCTGGCAGGACTTGTGACCCCGCAGGGTGACCCATGCTGGAGCAGTCCGTTCCTGAAGGACTGCACCCCATGGAAAGGACCAACGCTAGTGCAGTTTGTGAAGCCAACGCTAGTGCAGTTTGTGAAGAAGTGCAATCGGTGGGAAGGACTCAAGTTGGAGAAGGTTGTGGAGGACTGTCTGCCATGGGAGGGACCTAGCGCTGCAGCTGGCGAAGAGTGTGAGGAGGAAGGAGCAGCAGAGACAACATGTGATGAACTGACCGCAACCCCCATTCTCCATGCCCTTGTTCTGCGTAGGGGGAGGAAGTAAAAAATTGAGGAGTGAAGTTGGGCCTGAGAAGAAGGGAGGGGTGGGGGAGGTGTTTTCAGATTTCTTTTTTTTTTCTCTCATTTCCCTATTCTGATTTTCAATTGCAATAAATTGAATTTATTTCCCCCAGATGAGTCTGTTTGGCCTGTGATGGCAATTGCTGACTGTGCTCCCATGAGTCTTTCATCGTATTTTTCTCCCCCTGTCTGGTTGAGGAGGTGGAGTGATGGAGCATCTTGGTGGGCGCCTGGTGTCCAGAAAAGGTCAAAGAATCACAGAATCCCAGAATCCCAGCCTGGCAGGGGTGGGAAGGGCCCTCTGGAGCTCACCCAGTCCCACCGCCCTGCTCAAGCAGGCTGACCCAGAGCAGGGGGCACAGGACAGCATCCAGG